GATGTACTAGTGCAAGTCAATTAACTAGTATTTCTCGCGGACTTCTATGTCATTGACCTTTAAGAAAAAACTCTTTCCAAGTCATCTATGATCCTTCTTGGAAGACCCTTCATGAATACCGCTAATACAATTATTGATGTCCATAATAGGAAAATCACCATGGAGTTTGATGGAGAGACCATTCACTTCAACATCTTTGAAGCAATGAGATACCCTAGCAACATTTCTCTATTGTATCGGGTTGATGTGATTGAGCCAATCACCCAAGAATTATTCGAGTTATAACATGGAGACATTTTAAAGATGGTGCTCAATATGAGTCTTGATTGTGAGAGTTTAGAGAAACCATTGGATATGTATACATTGGACTCCAAAGTTGAAGAGATTGTGAAGACTTTAGAAGTTAACAATTCAACAAAGAAGGATGTTTCTCAAGTTTCCTTATCCCATTCTCCAAACAATATGCCCCCTTCCATAATCTAACCACCTACACTTGAATTAAAAGTCTTACCTAGCCATTTTAAGTATGCTTAATTGCTTATCTAGGTAAAGATGAAACTCTCCCGGTGATCATCTCCTCTAAATTGAAAGACTTTGAAGAAGATCAATTGGTTGAAGTTTTGAAAGATCATAAAGAGGCCATGGGGTGGACAATAGCAGATATCAAGGGGATAATTCCTAATGTATGCACTCATAAAATCCTCATGGAAGACGATTGTAAGCCTAGGAGGGAAGCTCAAAGACAATTGAGTAAATTACTGAAATCGTCCCTGTGGTTTGGTCAAAATTGCACGTTTGGTCCCTAACTTTTTTTTGCACTCGGAGCGTCCTTGTGGTTTGATTTTGTTACGTTTTTCGTCCCTATGGTTTGGTAAAAATTGCATGTTTGGTCCCTAACTTTATGTATGTAAGGGACGAAAAATGCAACAAAATCAAACCATAGGAATGATCCGAGTGCAAAAAAAAAAGTTAAGGACCAAACATGCAATTTCGATCAAACCACAGGGATGATTTCAGTAATTTACTCAAGACAATTAAATCCCCCTATGATGCAAGTTGTCAAGAAAGAGATAATCAAGCTCCTTGATGTGGACATGATTTACCCTATTTCCGACTCTAAATGGGTTAGTCCGGTTCAAGTTGTTCCCATGAAAATGGGAATCACGGTTATTGAGAATAGCAAAGGCGTCATGGTTCTCACTCGAGTTTAAAATGGATGGAGGGTGTGCATTGATTTTCAAAAGTTGAATTCAAGCACACGAAAAGACCATTTTTCTCTTCCTTTCATCAACCAAATGCTCAAAAGATTGGCGGGCAAATCGCATTATTGTTGCCTCGATGGATACTCGAGTTTTTACTAAATACCTATTGCCCTCGAAGACCAAGACAAGATGACTTTTACACGCCCTTTCGGCACGTTTTCCTACAAGCGGATTCCATTTGGATTATGCAATTCCCCCGTCAAATTCCAAAGATGCATGGTGAGAATCTTCTCTGAGTATGTTGACAATATAATTGAAGTTTTCATGGATGACTTCACTATGTATGGCAACTCGTTTAATGAATGCTTGGATAACCTAAAGAGGATTTTGAAACGGTGCATTGAAAAGAAGTTGGTGTTAAAGTTTGAGAATGCAACTTCATGGTCAATCAAGGCATCATCTTGGGACACATCGTCTCCAAAAAGGGAATTAAAGTTAATAAAGCCAAAATTGATGCCATACAAACCCTTCCTTACCCAACATGTGTTAGAGAAGTGAGATCTTTCTTGGGCCATGCGGGATTCTAAAGAAGATTTATCAAATATTTTTCAAAGATCACGAAATCGATATGCCTCCTTCTCCAAAAAGATGTTGATTTTGACTTCAATGTAGCATGTCAATAGGTCTTTGACAAACTTAAAGACTTGTTCACCTCTGCTCCAATAATCCAACCTCCAAATTGGGAGCTTCCTTTTGAAATTATGTGTGATGCAAGCAATTTTTCCATTGGAGCGGTTTTAGGTCAAAAGGAGGGAAAAGCATCACATATCATCTATTATGCCTCCAAAACCATGGATAATGCTCAAGACAATTATTCCACCACCGAGAAGGAACTTCTAGCTGTTGTCTTTGCCTTGGAGAAATTTCGACAATACCTTCTCGGGACAAAAGTGATTGTATACTCTGACCATGCGACTTTGAAGTATCTAATGACCAAGAAAGATGCCAAGCCATGGTTAATTCGGTGGATTCTTCTTTTACAGGAATTCGATCTTGAGATAAAGGAAAAAAGTGGTGCCGAGAACCTAGTTGCGGATCATTTAGGTCGGTTGAATATTGGTGGTTCTTCTTCTTCCATTCTTGATGAATTTTCGAATGAACACCTCTTCTACATTTTAAACACCATTCCTTGGTATGCAGATATTGTAAATTACTTGGCTACTAAAGAAATTCCACATGCATTTACCAAGTACCAAAAGGCCAAGTTAAAGAGTGATTCCAAATACTACATATGGGACGACCCTTATCTTTGGAAACATTGTCCGGATCAACTAATACAGCGGTGTGTTCATCAAAATGAGGTCGAATCAATTCTGAAGTTTTGTCATGAGTATGCATGCGGAGGTCATTTTGGTCAAAAAATAACCATGCAAAAGGTGCTCGAATGTGGAATATATTAGCCAACAATGTCAAGAGATACATATCTATTTTGCAAGAGTTGTGATAGATGTCAAATAATTGGAACCATATCCATGAAGAATGAAATGATTCAAATCCCTATCCTCATTTGCGAGATCTTTGATGTATGGGGAATCGATTTCATGGGCCCATTCCCCATGTCTTTTGGTTATACTTATATACTCTTGGCGGTTGACTATGTCTCAAAGTGGGTGGAAGCAAATGTTACAAGTCATGATGATTCTAAAACTGTAATTGACTTCTTGAAGTCAAATATTTTCACAAGATATAGTGTACCGAGAGCCTTGTGAGTGATAGGGGCACTCATTTTTGCAATAAAATAATGGAATCCATGATGAAGAGATATGGTGTCACACACCAAAATTTGACCGCCTACCATCCACAAACAAATGGCCAAGCCGAAGTGTCAAATGCAGAAGTCAAACAAATTCTTGAAAAGACGGTAAACACCACACGAAAAGATTGGAGCTTGAAGTTAGAAGATGCATTGTGGACGTATCGGACCGCCTATAAAACTCTAATTAGCATGTCCCCATTCCACCTCGTCTATGGAAAGTCTTTTCATTTACCGGTGGAATTGGAACACAAGGAGTATTGGGCGGTTAAAAAGTGTAATTTCAATATTGAAGAAACCGGGAAGCACCGAAAGATGCAACTTCAAGAAATCGAAGAGTTAAGGAACGAGTCTTATGAAAACGCAAACATCTACAAAAACAAGACAAAAGCGTTTCACGACAAGCACATCACTCGAAAACATTTTATTCCGGGCCAAAAAGTTCTTCTTTATCATTCACGCTTAAAGCTATTCAAGGTAAAGTTGCGATCTCGATGGCACGAACCTTTTATCGTTATAAAAGTGTTTGATCATGGTGTAGTTGAAATTAAGAGTTTGGAAACGAATCAAATATTAAAAGTGAATGGGCACCGTTTGAAACCATTTTATGAAGGCTTTGATACAGGAAAATTTGATAACGTAACATTGGAAACTTCGATTTATGAAGGTTGACGGAAGCGGGGCTATGTCTAGGCAAAGACGTTAAATAAATGAATAATAAAAAAATAATCTCCGTTTGAAATTTTGGTGTTTCTAAGTTGAAGCTGGTTAAAAAAAAGTTGTGTGGGTGCCCACGCAAGCTTTGCACAACCCAGATCCAGCCACGCAAATTCCGAGCTCCAACTTACCCCCACATGGGGTGCTATCTGATTGTTGCACGCATACTGACTCCACCCTCGCAGCTCCTTGTGCGGATAAGAACAAATTGACAACTCCTCTATGCGGCTAACAACACTAACCATATCTAGTACATATCAGCCATACCCGACCCGTAATCCGCCCAATATCTGCTTCCACTTACCCTTTTCGACCCAAACCCGACCCAACCTTATAACTCCTTAACCTGTCGGACCCCCTTCCCCCTTTTTGACTCCCGTCTATAAAGAACGATGTTCACAGCAACCAACCCTCCATTGTTTCCGCCGATTCCGACCAGCCACCGCCTCCAGTCAGCACCACCCGCCACGTCCTCCTGCTGGCAGTCGCCGGCTTCCTTCTTCTCCAGTCGACACAATGCCTTCTTCTCACCACTCTCCTTTTGTCTCCGGAAAATCGATCACCCATGACAACCACGTACTCCTTGCTGTTACCACCAGTGCATCCCCACCACCCTCATCCCCACCTAATTCTAACTACCCCACACCAATTTACTACCGGTCAACAGCCGATTGCCGCCATCAACCCTAGCTCACCGTAAAACCGTATAACCACCATATCTCTGCCAATTCTTCTCCAAATTCAAAAATTTCTTGAGGAATTCTTCACCAAACACTTCCAACCACACCGATCTACTATCCATTTGGGCAGATTTTACTCGCCGAAACCCTAGCTCCGCCGTCGGCCGCCGCCACTCATTTTGACCAAATTTTTCAAAATTTTTGTTTCTCATTAGAGATTCAAAAGATTCAACCTTTTGGGTCAAATTCAAGCTTGTTGTGCGGTTTTAGCGGGGTTTTTTCGAGTTTCGACACTCGAATTTGGTACATTCCTTTTAATTTTATTGCGTTCCATTTCTAATTTGGATAGAATTATGCTATGCATTAGATTGATTAGACTTGAATTGCTTTGAGTTGATTGGATTACCTTGTCTTGAATTGTGCCAAATTGCAAGTTTGGGGTATTTGTCCGGTTTTTATTTATCTTGTTATTTGGATTAATTGGATTGGTGTGAGGCGAGTGCGGGGGATAATTTTGGCCAAGTTTTTGTCATTGCTAGGTTCTCTTTACAAGTACAATGGGAAAGAACAAAACCATTCATGTGTCTCATGGTTCTTCCCGTGAAGGTCAATCATCGCAATCAACCAAAAAAGTGTCCACCGTCCATGTCGATCGTAATGGTAACCCTGTCCTCACTAGTGCACAAATCAAGAAATTCAAGTCCAACCTCTAAAACTGTGCAATCTGAGCCACAAAATTTTACCATCAGGTGTCGATGGTCCACCTTGGCCTTGACGATTGCTTGCAACAACTGTTCTTCAACATACGTTGGCAAGATTACCTAGATCTTTCCACGCGCACATACACACAACCCACACTTGAGTTCCTCTCCACTTATGCATGGGATGATACGGAGGGTTGCTCATATTTAGACTCCATGGTCGGCAGCACTGACTCTCATACACCACCCTCAACACTATCATGGGAACATGCGATGACAACAATACCGACATCTATAGTTATTAATGGACTCAATTCAAGAGCAGGCCCAAAGTAGAGTTTTGGACTCAGATCACCAGTCTTCCAAACTTCAATCGAAGTCGACAAAAAGATCCTTACATCATCCACCCTTGTTGCAGAATCGCTCATCGGATCCTTTTAACTTCAATATTTGGTCGTCACGAGCCGAGAGAAATAAACACATTCGAGCTATATTTCCTCTATTGCATGACTAGCAACCATTGGTCTTGCCTCGGTTTCACCACCTTTTTCTTGGATAAATGTGACATCATACGCACGAAGACCACTGGCGACATTTGCATTGGAGATCTCATTACCCTCATTGGTTTGGATATAGGCCATCCATTTCCCGAGTCCGAGTATGTGCCAATGGATGACCCACCTCTCCACCTCCTCGACTGCTTCGCTCTCACCCGGATGGAATTAGTGGTACCTATCAATAATCGTTAGTACTCTTGGCTCAATCATGCCAAGGAATCAGTTTACACCTTACCTAATATCATGCTAAGGAATCTGTTTAACTCCTAGGTACTTAAAGTTTCCTAAGGATTTGGCCATTATAAATCTAAGTATTATGTACTCCTAGATTATTGGGCATAATATCTTTTAGACACAGATCACAGGTTAAATCTAGGCATAGTATCTACAATTATACTATCCTAAGGTATCTTTCTTATTATAAAATGACTTAATATTTATAAGATAAATATTTTTATAAAATCATTTGTTAAGCATGTATCCCCCTCCCCCCGAAAATATTTTAAAATGGTAAAATATAGGTCATGAACTCACTCTAATTGCGTATCGGTAAGCGCCCGGACTGTTGCAACCGAAGTTTATTGTCATCGAGAGGGTATTGAAGTACAGAGAAAGAGAGAGAGAGGGAGTTTGGAGGGTGGTTTGAGATGAAAAACCAAGAAGCAAACACACCTATTTATAGTGATGGTGCGCGTCGCGCACTCTGCTGCGCAGTTTGCACTCGTTTCGTGGCCTATCTAAATCTGTCACGTGTCACCATTCTGGTGGTCCACGTTTCCAAATCTCTAAAGAATCTGGGGGTCAGATGTGTGTGACGTGCCTGGTGCGCACATTTACGCACACCCTTTAATTTTTTTTTAAAGTTCATATTTTTCTTCATAAGAACTTTGTTTCTTATCCTCTTTATATATTTGTGTAGCTCTTTCCTAAAACTACAACTTTCCTTTATATTGCATCTTCTAATTTTAACTTTCATTTTTAACCCACATTTTTATATTTTATAAAAATTGTATCTCCATCATATGACTTCCATTTTTGCCCTTCTTTCTTCTCAAGTTATTATCTCATGTTTTACTACAAATTTCCTTTTTGTAGTGTTAGCCGAAACTCAACCGTTTTCTTTTTGCTATTTTTGATGTTAATAGCGTTATTAATGTGGTTGGTTTATATTCGTCATAAATCATAACTCTTCCAATCTGGGTTAGATTGTTTTGACGCTTTTAATTTTTGAGATCATTAGGTCGCGTATTTTCCAAATAAGGTAATCATTTTAACTTTTTGATTACTTTATATTTGTCTAAACTTTACATATTATCCTTCAATATGTGAAGTTTTTGTGTTTATGAGTCGAACCTAACTCCTAGTAATAATTAATGACGGAAAATTTATCAATTGTTACACTAAGCTATTAACTAAATTATTATAAACTTAAATTATTAGCAAAACCCTTTTGAGTTGTCCTCAAACCTAGTAAGAGACTGACATGTTATTTGGAAAGAGATATTGATTTATTAATTTAATATATGTTAATAAATTAATTATAAATCAAAATAAATAATTTATTAATAGGTTTTGAGAAAAATATATTAATTCAAAATTATATTGTTTAACTATAAATTAATCAGAAATTAATTAGAATTGATTTTAGGTTAATTGAAATAATTGAAAGTAGAATGACTAAAGATAACAATGTTCAAAAGATTGAGCATTGATCAATTGTAGAACCTCCTTAAGGATAGGATTCTAGATGGTTTCTAGAGCTTTTCGTTGGCTCTAACGAAACATAGGGAATGTGTATATATATATATATATATATATATATATATATATATATATATATATATTATATATATATATATATATATATATATATATATATATATCATGGTTGTCAAAATCGCGATCCTGATCGTAGGATCGTTCGATCTTAGGTATCGAAAACGATCAATATCGTAAACGGATCGTATTTTGGGTGGAATTGCAGGTACGATCATAAGATCGTAGGTAGGATCGAGATCCGATCCGATCCGATCCTACCTTCCCTTGATTTTTTTTTTTTTTTTTTTTTTTTTTTTTTTTTTTTTTTTTGCAAATGAAACTTATATTTACCACCTAATCGCATTTATCCTTTACCAATTTACCGTTATTCATTTTGTATTGTGACTTATGACTAATATTTTGAAGGCTTTATAACTTTTAAATGAAAAATTAAATGTTCGAAATATTTTTCATGTTTAAAAATTATAAATTCAAATTATGTTTTATTTTGTGGGATCTTAGGATCCCGATCCCGATCTTGTAAACCTACGTAGGATCCTGATCTTGACAACCTTTATATATATATATATATATATATATATATATATATATATATATATATATATATATATATTGTAACATTTAAAAATTATGATACTGAATACACTAGTTAAAAAATAAAAAATACTTGTAGATTATAACCAATATAAACGAGGCAAATAGAATACATTGGTAAATTTTAGAGTTGTTTTTCTATAAGAAGTGATTTGTTAGAATACATTGGTAAATTTTAGAGTTGTTTTTCTATAAAAATAACTTGTAGGCAATAATTTTTTATCATACATAACAATTCATACAATAATTTTTTATCATACATAACAATTCATATGTTAAGAAAAATTATTGTGTACACCTAGTTTCATCCATTTTGTAACAATTCATGTGTTAAGAAAAATTATTTTGTACACCTAATTTCATCAATTTTGTTAAGTCATTTGTGGAAAGCAATATTTCCACTTAATAATTTTAATAAATTTCATTTGGCCTTTTTATATAATTATCCATTTAATCATGACCCTAATTTCATCCATTTTGTTAAGTCATTTGAGGAAAGCAATATTTCCATTTAATAATTTTAATAAATTTGATTTGACCTTTTTATATAATTATCCATTTAATCTTGACCCTAATTTTATCCATTTTGTTAAGTCATTTGAGGAAAGAAATATTTCCACTTAATAATTTTAATAATTTGATTTACCCACATGAATTAATAATTTTACCCACATGAATTAATAATTTTAGTAATTTGATTTACCCACATGAAGTACCCCACCTTACATTTTAAGTGGAGGATGAATCAAACTTACATTTTAAGTGGAGGATGAATCAAATTATTAAGTGGAAGTTTCCAACTCAACCCAGAACTGTAACACATACAAAAGACTTCTCAATAAGAATTCAAGTCTAGCATATTATATGAATAAACTTGAACTCAGGTATTACTGTAAGCTTCAAAGTGATTGCGCTCGAACACAAACCGCTCGATAACTCATTTACATTGCTATATATAACAACCCTTCCCTACTCGGTTACCTTTTAGAAATAAAAAAGATAGAATATAATATGAAGCTTATATAGACATACAAAGGTCTTCATATTCAACTTCAAAATGGCCTTCTAGCCTTTCACCACTTTTACATAACAAAATATATAGATATATAGAAACTATTCCCAACATTCAAACTCACAGATACTGTTCTTGTATCCTCGCTCTATTCTTTTCCCACCACATTCTCGCATGCACTTCCCCAAACCGTTCACGACTGTCATACATCAAAACATAATTAATAATAATTTACAAAATTGAAAAAAAAAAAATGTTAATTACTACCTGAATCGAACCCGCCTAAGCTCCCGGGTCCCACCTGGAAGTGTTCTAATTGTAATATAAACACCCGGTTCATCTTGCTCAACCCATTCTGTTTCCAAATCGCTCACATTGCTCAAAGAAATCTCTTCAGATTGATCAGCCTCTCGCGTTGAACTAGTTTTAGCGGAAACATCTACCGACGATGTCTCAGTTTTTGAGCCCTGAAACAAGTTTCGAGGCGGATGCTCTTTACTAAGTGGCGGCGTTACCGGACTGTTTTCAATAGACTCGGTTCTTGAACTCTGAAAACATCAAAATTTGATTGCTCTGATACCATACTAGATATATTAGATACTAACAAAAAAAAATAAAAAAGTAATTAACCTCGTCTTCAGATCTTGGAGGAGATGGTAGTGGTACTCCTTGTTGATTAAAGCGTTGTACATTGTACAACTCCATAATTTTCTCACAGTTTTCGGACCACCATCTTTGAGCTTGCCATTTGTTGAACATTTCACGACTAATAATAAAAATAATACACAATAAAGTAAGATTGACAGCGACATTGGTAAATGGTAATTATGATATAACATTAAAAATTATAATTATACTCTTTATGTATAATAAAGCAAGGGGCATAACATGTGATGCAGAAAGGAAAACAACATACAATATATTTTTGGGTGGAATGAAATTATGTGGACCATTCGTTTATGGGTAATAAGTATAAGTAAAGAATCAATCAAGAACATTGAAATGGTGGATCGAATTTCAAATACCCGGACCCCATTTAAGAGCTTATTGGCAATGATCCATTTAATAGATTAGTTGAGAGATATAATATAATTCAATTTGATTCCAAAAATTTGCGGTTATTTAAGAGCATATTGGACCCACAAGTCCACAAAGCATCTGGAAATATGTCATTGACTATTTTTTGATTTTTATACAATCTATTTGTTAGCAACTAGTCACTATGTCCCATGAAAATCGCAAGGAAGTAGGAATTAAACTTTTGTGTAACAAAGTGAAATTTGGTAAAATAAGGCATAACAAATTGCATAAATCGGATTAGAAATTTAGAATGCAAACCTGAAGCGAATACGTTTCAGATCGTTGCCACCATGAGGCAAGGAAACGAAAGTGATGAGAACACCTGGTTCCACCTGAGCAACCCATTCTTTAAGCTCGTCTTCCTCCATAAACACAACCGACTCAGTCCGGCCACTCACCGACGCCGGAGTGCTCGAACCACTCGAAAGCCCCTTTAATCTCGCTTCCATTTCCTTACCCCAAACCCTGGGTGTCGAATTGCCGGTGCCGGCTCTTTGGTACCCGCAAAAAAACCTACCGGACGATGAACCAGCTTCGGAGTCCGCATAACCCCGACGGGTCGAGTTGTTGTTAGATGATCCGGAGCAAGGCTTGCAGTTTTTGTATGCTCCTGAAGCCTTTAACGCGATATCCTTGATCTGTAATCGATGTGTTCAATTTTATGATCAGAAATACTTGCATTAAACGATCGAATGACAGCATTTGTCAGAAAACGAGAAACAGAACAATCGTAATTCTTACTTGAGATGTGAGGGTTTTAACGGCTTGCTTGGTTCTAGGTGTAGAAACGGAGTCTCCTTCTTCATGTTCGTGTAGAGATCCACCATTTAGCTGTTTCGTACAAGCAATACACGTCAACATATTCAAATGTGTGTTCACGATAACAGATTTTTCCTATAAAACTGGGTACTTAAACGACTCCAATTCACTGTAGAATAGCTCAATTTCGATTCACTTGACGAGCTAGAAAGGCGAAATGAACACGAAAAAACAGAGTTACAAGCGTTTTCATATAAATACCGAAGTGCGTTTCGTGCGTAAAGAGGAAAAATAAACACTCGTTACACAACCAGTAATGGCGTGATTCTAGGGCATATATATGTGTACAAATAGTTTCAGACAGAGAATATATTGTTGTAAACAAAAGCAAACACAGCCGGCGAAACGCACGTTTGCCGCCGACTAATATGCGTGAATATGAACACACAGTAGCACGCACAGTCGGCAGAAATTTTGGGAAGATGGTGTGACAGGTTATTATGAAAAAGGGTTGTGATCAGTAATGATGCGCATTAATCTCTGAGAGAGAGAGAGAGAGAGAGAGAGAGAGAGAGGTAGGTAGGTGATGGAATGGAAGAGGAGAAGAAACGTGTGCCCCTGTTATAAAGGTGATGGGTCCGATGAATCGCCGGCGAGTAGTACCGGCAGCCGTGGATTGATCGATGGAAAGTTGCAAAAGGAAGTCTAGTGAGTAGTGAGTAGCCACCTCTTTTGCATCGGTACTCCAAACAACCCCCTTCGAATGTCACTTTGTAGCTTCTCTTGCAATTTGCAAAATGAATTAAATACTCACCTATTGGGTTCATGTCTAATATTTTAGAATATAATATAATAATATGTAATAAAATTAAACAAGTTTTTAAAAAAAAAAAAATTGTTTACAATAATGATTTTCAGTAAAATTGTGCATATAATATAGATTAACCGATATGTTCTTTATCAACTACATGAACTAAGAGATTGACACAGTTAATTGATAGTAGAAAGGTTAAATTGCAATGATGTTGAAACTAAATTCAAAAAATATTATCATAGAAAAATTACAGATTTTCGTTAACTAGTATTTCAATACAATAGCAGTATTTTATATTCATGTTCGGCGTAAATGTTGATGTTTGGTGCTTCACTAGCCTTGTGTAGCGTGAGATGTCATGACCATTGCCACAAAAGCTATAAGGTCGTTCGCAATACCGATAACGAAGGAGCTCTTGATCTACGTGGCCCCGAGCATTGTACGTGCATATCAGCCCGAACCGTTGTGGTTGGGTGTTGTGTTATTGTGATGATTTGTGGTGAGGAGGATCATGGTCGTTGTCCTCTCTCTCTCTCTCTCTCTCTCTTAATGGGTTTTGTGGTGATGATCAGGAAGCTCTCAACGACTGTTGTTGTAGAGAGTATTACAAATGGTCTAACACGAGAAGTCTCTCATCCTTCTATTTATCCTTTTTTTTTTCATTCTTTATGGGTGATGTTTGGATCCCTTTGTTGTGAGTTTGCAAACTTCCCTTCTATTCATCTTGGGTTCCTTATTGGAGCCAACACGACAGTTGTTGCAATTTGGAAACTAGTGGTTGATAAATTTAATTCAAAGTTATCAAGTTAGAAGGCAAACATCTGTCATTTAGGGGAAACTTACTATTGTCAAGATCGTGATTGTTAGTCTCCCTCTTTTTTATTTATCACTGTTTATAGTTCCGATAAAAGTGATTGAAAATTTTGAGAGCATTCGAAGGAGGTTTCTTTGGGGGTAAAGACAATATTAGAAAGATTCATTGGCTTGCTTTGAGTACCTTAGTCCATCCTAAAAGTAAAGGCGGTCTTGGAAAGAGTAATTATAGCTTCTAGTTTCTAATTAATTAATCATTACATGAATAATTAATAAAGTATTTATATCTCTCTTATAACATCCTAATATTGTTTGGTTCATTAAGACAACCCCCAAAAAAGACTTTATTGTTAATGAATAGTCTTACCAATTCAGTTATGACATTAGACACTATTACAACAGTCTTCCACTTTGACAAGTCATTAATCACTATTAGTCACAAAGCTCTCATTTAATAGCAAAGTGTGCTTCATTAGCAACTGTCAAACTCCGAATCATATTCTTATAAGACAACCCTTAGATATAGGGTTGTCAAAAATACTCGACCCAACCTAAAACCGAAATACCTGAGAACCCGAATTACAATATAAGTCGGGTATCGGGTATTATTAATTTAAGGAAATGCCCGAACAACCAAACATATTCTACCCGAAACCCAAAAATTTTACCCCGATCAATGCCTCTACTTAGATAAGTGATTAACAGGGCCTTCCGCAACATATCTTAGGCCCCTGTGAAAAGAAAAAAAAAATGAGACCCTCTCTTAGTTAAAACTACTACACAATGCTGATATGTGACTTACTTTGAGTTAATTAAAAAAGACATTATAAAAATATTATTTTGAAGATTAACTTATTTTCCATTGAAAATAAACATAACTAAACCATTAAACCACACTATACATTTGTTATGTAAAAAATAGATTTATGTATAGATAATATGAAGTTTAAGAAAAAAATAGTTTTTAAGGAGTTTTACGGTCAAAATAAATAAGCCTGACCACCACAATAGCATTTATATATATATATATATATATATATATATATATATATATATATATATATATACTAAAAATCAGGCCCTAATGTATGCGAGCCCTTTGCAATCACACATGTTGAACTCACTTTGGGCCGGTCTTAGTAATCAACTATTCCGTTGTATAACATATTGTATGGATATGAGATATGGATATAAATCAATCTCATTGTCTAAGATTTGTTTCCCGGTTTCGATTTATAATGACATTATTAGATTTATAAAATTGAACATATTACTTTAATCCAAGGTGGGGCTCAACATTATAATGTCAACATCAACTCACCAAGATGCTCAAAAATATTGCTTTTCTATTATGAAAAAAATTGAATAAACTTTGACTACGTAATCAAAAATGGCTCATCATGTCATACATAGACATATATTTTATAGCATCCATTTACGGTTGGGTTTATGAAATAGCAATGTATAACAAAATCATAAATTATAACTTATGCATATCAGCTTGAAAAATATAAGATATTATCATCTTAGAATTACTTATGATTGAATCCATAAAGTAATCTCCAAGTGTGGGGTTTTCTATATTTAAAATTTGTATTTAAGTACTCATGAGTGTTAGTCGCAATCTCTATGTTATGTCTAATCACCATAGACAATCTACTAATACTTTATTATAGTCTTAAATTACCACTTACTCCTAAAAGTATGGATGACCGTGGAGGTTTTAAGTAACTTAGTACTTTGGAAGTAGATTCTAAACATAAAAATCGAAACATAATAATAAATATTTGAAGATGGTATTTCACTAACTCATAAGTGAATCTCTATTATTTAATCACCAAAATCACTTACAATTTATTGTTGTTATATTGTTTCAAAATATCAACTAAATATTAAAAATAATATCATCTATCATGCCTATGTTTTAGATGCATTTAATATGCATCTTTTAGCATGTTTTTGTCAATGCGTTCTTATAAAATGCTAGCTATCTCCTTTGTTTTACTATGAACTGTGTATTTCTCATTATTTTCATATAATGTTCGTACTAGTCACTTTTTTTTATGATTTCAAGGAAAATTAGCACAGATTAAGAATACGACACCTTAAGGATGCGTTTGATGGACCATCGGAGCTTAATTGGAGTTAGCAACTTATGAATGATGATGAGGAATGCTTGGAAGATGTGTTAATCAAGGAAAAGCAAACGTTTCACTCGAAATCAGAAAAATTTGATTGTGTTATCTCCGAAAGCACGATCATGTGGAAGCCTCACAGATATTTAGCCTTGTTTTGAAGTCACAGGAAGGAAAAAAGAAAATTTGATCGTGTTATCTCCTAAAACATGATCATGTAGATGCTAACTAGTTCAAAAAAAATTCAAAAATCATTTGGATGCCTTCCATGAGCATGGCATGATCGAATCGCATAATTCGATCGTGTTTTCCTCAGAAACACGATAGTGTTTTTGTAAAGAGTGTCAGGAATGACAACGCACTTCATTAAACGGGTTTTGGACACGCCTTGAAGAAAGCATAATCCTCCCCCTCAAAAATACGATCGTGTAATGGACCGACGACTATCTAGACGTATAAATAGCACCTTATAACACTTTTGTCACCTTAACTTCCACCAAAGGATTCAAAGAGGGGTTTTCTAAATATTCCAAGTGCAAAACAAAGATTTGAAGAAGACGATTCGATATGTATCATCAACTAGTAAGATTAATCATTTAGGATTTATTTTTATCTTCTGTAATTCGTTTTTAGCCATATTAGGCTAAAAACACCAGATTTTAGTTCTGCAAAAGGGTCAACTTTTTGGGAAAGTAATCATCATGCACGATTTTCGGTTGTGATTACTATTTAGTTTGATCATTTTTATGCTTAATTGAAGGTTTGATGTTGATTCAATTTCCCTTGGCCAGTTTAATTACTATTGAGTCATTCCAGTTATCTGATTACTTAGATCCATAATTGTCTTTATTAATCAGTAAAAGTAACAAACATTAGATTAGTTATGTGTTTAGGATTTAACTCTAATATAAACCGATCAGAAAAGTTTTTACGCTTCCAAGCTTGTGAGAAGTATTGGACCTTACTGGGAATTTTACATTGTGTCTAATGTTACTTTTCTCAGTTAATTAAGAGCTTGTTTAGTTAATTTAGTAAAAAAGTAAGGTTTAATTCAAAGGGCTTATTTTGTTTAACAGTTTAGTAAAAGAAAATTGTTATAGCTTATTAATGATTTTCAGTACTAGTTTAAACTATACACAATTCAACAATCATGTCGAAGGTTATTTGCATGATCAAGAGAGTCACCGTGAAACTGAAAAAGCTTTTATTTTATGAATTTTTTCCTCAAGTATTTATATTGCAATTTTTTTTATAAATTTATATTCAAATTAGTTTGAATATTCATCAACCTCCCCTCCCCCCCCCCCCCCCCTCTAATTTAAAAATATGGCAGACTAGTGTCTGCCTTACGCAAGAATGACATAGACTTTAAGACGTGTCCTTGTGGATTTCTGCCCTACTTTCCTATACTACCCCTTAGTGCATTTGACAAACATTTTTATTCGTATTATTTATTTGTTTAGGCTTTGTGACACGTCTCTAATAAATTGGCATCATCGCCAGTGTCACGACAAACACTAATTGGTTTATGCTAGTATCTTCACATATAGGTACCCCACTAAGATCGATCCAAAAATAGAGAAGACAACAAGGAAACTTAGAAAGGAAGCAAATCAACATAAAACATATCCACAAGGCAGTCCCTTGTGGAATGAGCCTGAAATAACATTTTCATCCTTTCCCAAATCACCCCGATCATCTCCTTCTCACGGTCCATATAAATTACAAAACATACTTACCAACACCCTCTATTAAATCTGAAAACACCGGATTGTCTGATTCGGATTCTAAAATAAAACTAACCATCAGTGATGCAGGTGACGATGAGGAGAAGACTCTTAGAGAATGGGCAACACAAGAGGTTACACAATAGCATTTATTTATCACTACTTTTTGAGGCCTTGAGAACGAAGACCCAAACAAAGTTCTTAAGGAGTTCCATGTTGTTTATTATGGGATGAAGCCACATGCTATTACAAAAGACAATATCAAGCTAAGGGCATTCCAATTTTTAGTCCAGGAGCA